CTGCTATTCATAAGGTTTTCACTGGCTAATTCTTTTCAGAAGTAGACTGCTGCGCCCTTCTTCCTAGTCTGTCTTAGTCTGGACGCTCAGCTGAAACCTGTCCGCCGTGGTTGACCCTGCTGGTATTGAAATACCGGTGGCATAGCTTCCAGCATCACAGCAACACGCAAGCCATCATAGTATGACAAACTGACAGATGTGTGGGGTTTTTGAACATGTGATTTGCAAATCTTTTCTCCCAGTCTATGGGTTATCTTTTCATTCTCTTAACTGTGTCGTTCTCAGAACGAAAGTTTTTAATTTTTATGAAGTCCGATTTATCAGTCTTCTCTTTTATGGGTTATAAAAACTCATTGCCAAACCCAAGGTTATACGTATCTTTTTCTTTATGTTCTTTTAGAAAACATGGCAATGCATAGAATCTATAGATCAAACTGGGGAGAAATGATATTGTAACAACATTGAGTCTTCCAGTCCATGAAAACTCTATTTATTTAGATCTTTGATTTCTTTCAACAGTGCTTTGTAGTTTTCAGCATACAGATCCTGCACATGTTGTGTTAGATTTATACCTAAGTATTTCATTTGGTGGTGATGGGTGCTATTTTTGGAACTTCAAATTCCAATTCACTGCTGGTACATAGGAATATGACTGACCTTGTAACTCACTTATTAGTTCTAGGAGCTTTTAGGTTGACTTGTTGAAATTTCCTATGTAGACAATCATGTCACCTGCAAATAGAGAGAGTTTTATTTCTTCCTTTCCATTTTTATTATTCCTTTTTTTTTTCCTTGCCTTATTGCACTGTCTAGGACTTACTTCCAGTATGATGTCAAATAGGAGTAATGAGCCAGGACATCCTCGCCATGTTCCTGATCTCAAGGGAAAAGCATTCAGTCTCTTCTCATCCACTATGATGTCAGCTGTAGGTTTTTTTTGTAGATATCCTTTATTAGGTTAAGGATTTCCCTTTCTATTCCTAGTTTGCTAAGAGTTCTTATTATTAATCAATGTTGAATTAATTTTTTAAAAATTGTTGTAGTTTAAATAAAGGTTTACATTTCAAGTTAGTCTCCCATACAAAAACTTATACACACAGTTATGTGACCATAATTGCTCTCCCCACACTGTGACAGCACACTCCTCCTTTCCACCCGATGCCCCATGTCCATTCAATCAGCTCCTAACCCTCTCCATCTTCACATCTCACCTCCAGACAGAAGCTGCCCCGTTTAGTCTCCTGTAGCTACTTGAGCCAAGAGGCACACTCCTCACGAGTATCACTTTATGTCCCACAGTCCAGTCCAATCCCTGTCTGAAGAGTTGGCCTCAGAAATTGTTTTAGTTCTGG